AAGGGGAGATAATGAATGGCTTCCACATTCTCCAAACAGGAAAGGACCCAAGTATCCCAGAGCCACTGCTCCACTGCTCTGGGGGCTAGGATCCTGGCTGACTGGGTGCTTGGTGACTTCCTGGGGATAGCATTGGCCCTGTGTTTTGTACCTTGAGCCTAAGAAACATTAAACATCTCCCAGGTGGATGGGTGCCCTGTGTCATGTGCTTAGGAGTTCTGGGGATGGGGGAATGAGGAGATAACAGGGGCATTTGGTAAAAGAGGTAGAATCTTCCAGCTGCCTGTTCCAGGGCTTCTGGGATACAGGATGGATCCTGGGCAGCACTGTTAGCCCTTCTGCGCTCCTTCATGCCTCCCATACCTGCCCAGTCTTGTCACTACAGTAACAGTGCAGGGGATCCCTGTGCAGGGACAAGTCACAGAATCAAGTCTACAAGTTGGGAACAGCTAGCAGGGAAAGGGATCCCAGAAGTTAGTTCCAAGCTGCCTGAAGATGCAGTTTCGAATTACTGTGGCCAGAGAAGCATTCCATGAACACGGGTGGGCGAGCAGTCTCAGGGGAGTTGGTTACCTGAATGTTTATGACACAAAAACATTAGTTGGGGGTCCAAAATCCCTATAGAACAGCAGTCCCATAATTCAATTCCCAAATTTAAGTTACAGAACTTTGCTTTTAAATCTTGACTGCGATTTAATGCACATATAAGTCGATTCACAAAGTTGTGCAATCCTTATCATAACTGAAATTAAGAACATTTTCATGATTCCCAACATAAATCCACCCCCATGAGAGATGACTCTTTCCCCCCACCTTCCCTAGCACTAGGTAACCGCTCAGCTACACTGTTTGCAGATTATAAACTCTCGACACACTGAGATTACCAACAGAGCCACAAAATGTTTGTGTTATATATGGAAAAAGCATGAACAGGGAGCTAGTGAGGCTTTGCCCTCAAGGAGTTTACAGGTTGCAGTGAGAAGTGGAATCAGTACTGGCTGTCACTCACCAGCTATGTCATCTTGGGCATGTGCCAGGATCTCTTTGAGCCTCAATGCTCTTATATTTAAAATGGGATAACAATCATACTTCTTTCATAAGGCTATCAGGATTAAGTAATGAAATGGAGGACACCTAGTACAGGTCTGGCTACGAAAGGAGATCATAAATATTTGTCTTTATTGATGAAATATGGCAAGCACTATGTGCCCCTGAGGAGAGCTAAGAGGATCTGAAAAGGCTTCAGGCAGTCAGAATGTGTGTGTATGTTAGGCTTCCTACCATGAGCACAAGCATAATTCAGGTGGGTACATGCCAGGCAGACAGAGCTGCAAACAAAGCATGCCCAGAGCACACGGTGAAAAGCAAGGGGTGGGAGCTGGTTGGAAGAGACCAGCCCAGAACACAAAGGCATGGGTGGGGAGGCCCTGCTGAATTCTGGCAGTACAGGGAGCTGGCTTGGGAGGACTGAGATGGGGAATGGTGAAGGTAGCAGCATGCTTTAGGGACAAGTGGGAAAAGTACAGAACCCTAGGTAGAGACAGGATGGCTTTGGTAAAAGAAATGCTAGAGAATGGAAAATCTGTTTGGCATTGCTCCAGGAGCCCAGGGGGCATGAAGAGGTTTGAGCTGAGAGTGTGGCAGTGCTGGAGAGGGCAGACCGTGGTTCTCAGACGTTAGTGTCAGAATCATCAGGAGACTGCCAGGCAGACTGGGGATAGAGGCAGATGAGCATGGGCATCTGGAAGGCAGGAGAGTGAGCAAATCAAGAGCTTGTTTCCGGGTTACCACTTGATTGGGCAAGATGGGTGCTTCCGGAGCTGAGAGGGGCTATCCCTGCTGCTGAGAAGGCTGAAGAGAACTTGGGGAAGAAGGCAGTTCTTCCAGGTCTTGAAGACAGAGGGTTTTGAGGAGGGGAGATGGGCGCGGGCATCCCAGGAGGAGGCAATGTAAGACAAGACTTGTAACCAGATACCGGTTTGCCAGTCCAACTGTTGTTGGGTGCTGAACTGGAAGGCTACGATGCCTCCAGATAGCCTTAAATACCATCGTGAGAAGTCTGGACTTGACTTAGGCCAGAGGTAAAAGAGAGTTGTAAATTCTGGGGGTATTTATCACCCTCACCATTTGGGGACCTAGTGAAAAGAGGTGTGCAAGGTTTGGAGTAGGGCAAGGGGATCATTACAGTTTCATCACAGAGCCCCATTTTATTTTTGATGGATTCATGTTGGGAAGGCCTAGGAGGCTGAGGGAGGTTTGGGGAAGGGGCAGGGGAGGGCAGTTGGTCCCCTTGCATGATCTCAGTGGAAAAGGCTGCTGTATGCTGATTCTGCTGCCAGGGCAGCCACAGAGATGGGTCCCATGAGTCACTACACAGCTCTGCAAGCTCAGCCCACTGAGTCGGCTGTGGTCGGCTGGCCTGGCCTGGCCAGCTCCAGACCCAGTCCCCCCACATTCCCCACCCGGCCTCAGCTTGTCTGCTCCATTCCTGTGTGAAGTTTTGCCATCCCAGCACGGTGTATCTTGCAGCTCTGTCTCTGAAACGGTTTTCATTTGTGAACTTTGCCAGGTATCTCAATTCCCAGATGGGAGCCTCATGGGGGCAAGGGACTGTGACCTGTCTTAGGCACCCCTGAGCATTTATTCTGTGCTAGGTTTATGCTGAGTGTCAAAGAAAAGACTGGGACAATATACAGTCTCTGTTTTCATGAAGCATAAACGAACGAGGGCTTGGCCCTGTCTCTATCTCAATGTCTCTGTGCCTGTCCTCGAGCCTGTCTGCCTGTACCCAGAGGAGTCTGATCAGCTATAGCTTGTGGCTTGAGGTCCCTTCTTTGCCCCTGGGATTATTGGGAGGGAATGCATGTGCTTACTAACTTTTCAGGCTCCTGGGGGTATGGTGAGTAGGTAGGGATGGACAGAGTCAGTGGGCAGCAGAGGGGAGGGAGCAGGAGATAGTGACTCAGTGGGGGTGGCTCTGGGACAGAGCTGAGGAGGGGCCACAATTGGTCTAGCTGTTTGCTGTAGCTGAGAGAAGGGTAAGGACACAGTTGGGCTGGGGGCTAGGTTGGGACAGGACAATCCCAAGGTTCCTTTCTTGAAGTCATAATAGCTCATAGTGTGTCTGGGAGTCTGGATTTGGTGTGCTGATATGGCTGCCGGGGTGGGTGGGGAGACTATTGCTGACCCCCCAGTGACTGCTCAGGGTTTCTTCCTTCAGCAGCCTCCCTGGACTCATGAAGGAGACTCCTGTCTTAGAGCCATTACCCTTGCACCGCCTTCCAGGCCTAGCTCTACCAGAACTTGGGCATTCTGTGGGGGCACAGCGCCTTCTCCTGGCCACACCGCTAACTTTCCCACAATCTTCTCACAAGATTTTGGGGGGAGTGTCAGGCCAGATCCACATGCCCCAGAGGGACCCCAAATCTTAAAGCTAGAAGGGCTCTCACAAGTTATTTATCCAAGTGACTTTTACCAGTACAGGAGCTCTTGACTAAGGGCAGGCAAGAGCCTAGCCTAGCGCCAGCAGTGATCCAACAAACAAGTGAAATAAAGAGCTTTGTGATAAATCCAGGTGGAAGGAATGACTTTCGTGTTTCAGTAGGTGAGTAAGATGAGGCTCAAAGAAATGAGCTACTGGAGCTCCCCCTGCAGGTAAGTGGCAGCCATACCTGGGGCTAGTGCCTCTGGCTCCAGGACCCTCTGTCTCAGCCCCAGACTCTAGCCGGGCTTCGGGTGGTGGTGGAGAAAGAGGGAGAAGATGGAGAGTTGGGCCTGCATCAGCTCCCACCCCAGAGGCCTCCCTGCCCCACTCTCAGACCCCATTCCACCAGGGGATTATATAACCTGTCTTGTCGGGCCTGCACTTGGAGACCGGAAGGAAGATGGGGACTGCAACCTACCCCTCACCCTCCATGAAGATGCTTCCAGCAGCTCCAAGCAGTTGATCTGAACTTTGGGAGTCTCATTCTAGGAGTTTCTCTGGAACCTTTTATTCTTTGGGTTACATTTGGGGGCCGTGAGGAAAGAGGGGATTTTAGCCCTACCTTATTTCACTGAGGATGCTGGCAGGCTGCCCTGGCAGCTGACCTTCCAGTCTCCACAATAAAGCCTTTTCCTGTGTGATTTTGAGAGCAGAAGCCTCTGTAAGCTCCTTCCCCTCATCCCGAGAGGACCCACAAACTCTCACCCTCGAGCCCCTACACTGTCTTCCCCAGCGGATGACCACTTCCAGCGTCTTCGCCAAGACCGGGAAGAGGGCACGGAAGGAGTGGCCGTTAGTCGCCTGCCCTTACCTACAACAGAGGTTAGGTGTGGAAAGTCGGGAGTTTCCGCGGGGAGGTGGAGCTGAGCCACCTGGTCCCGTGCGGGAGGCGGCGGCGGGCGGGGGAGCAGTTTACGCAGGCGCCTTGGCGGTCCTCTGGCGTCTGCCGTCGGAACTGGCGAGTGGTTGCTACTCTGTCCTCCGGCCTCCAGGGGGCGGTGCGGCGCGGCGTCTCTGCTGCCCTTCTCTTCCTCCGCGGCCAGGAGGCGGCGCCAGTGGACGCCGGACGGGCGCGTTGTACTCGCCGTCGAGGCCGTGGCTGTACAGTACGTTCGAAGACTGCCTTTTCGCATCTGCCCGCGAAGCGTTCCCTGGGTGTGAGGGTAGCCGAAGGCAAGTGAGGCCACACGAGGGTCGAGGGCCGGGTCTAGTCGACGGGAGCGCGGGCATGAGGCAGCACCATGCCAAGTCTGTGGCCCATGGGGCATACGTCTGCCAAATAACACAGGAGCGCCTGGTTCTGGGTGTGGGCCCCACCAAGGCACACCCATATGAGCTGTCCCACATCCTCAGGTCTCCGCAGTCCCTGTGCCAGGTGGGTGCCTTCTGTGTCTGCCAGCGTTGTCCACTGAGGCCTAACCGACCATCTTCAACCCAGTTCCTGGATGAGCTGGGGCCTTAGTTCACCCGCAAGTTCCACTGGGTCTTGAGCTGGCCTCCCCTTAGGGACGAGTTGATGGACCATTCCCTGGAGGATGTGGATGAGGCCCCAGACGCCCAGGGTCACGCCACCGACTGGAGATTTGCTGTGTGCAGTTTCATGGATGCCTGGGATGAGGAGGAACCCACCCCCCACAAGGAGGTTAAGGACTCCAATACTCCAAGACCACCAGCAGGGGAAACTCAGGGTGAAGGGCTACTGTATAGGGAGCTTCAGTCACCCCCAGAACTGATGGCTACAGTTGAGTCTGGGGATAGTCAGAAGGGCACATCAGGAGTTTCTGAGAACCCAGCCCCTTCTGGAGTGGAGAACTCCTTAAGCCCCACATCCTCCCACCTCAGCCTAGTAGAGGGTGGGAGTGACAGCCAAGGGAGGGACTTGGCAGGGGACCCAGTTTCAGGTAGGGTGGTGGCAGCCAGTTTGGGCCCTGAGGAGTTGGATGGCCATCCGGTGGACCTCGAAGAGCCCTCGTCAGAGACAGTGTCAGAGCTGGGGGAGGCAGGTAAGTGAGGCTGGCTCACGAAAGTCTGGGAAGAACTCAGGGTCCCTGGAGGTAGGGGATGAGACCTGGACGGTTCTGACCCCTCTCAAACCAAAGCCAAGGTTTGAGGCGAGACCTCTAGGCAGGTGACCATGTAGTCCCAACTGTTTCTCTTCTCAAGCTCCCAGCAGATCCAGCCTCCCCAGACCCACTGACTGCCTCCTGGCCCAAAACCTTGCTTTCGAGCTGCTGGCCAGTGGCATGGCCACTCTTCCAGGTAGTGGAGAGAAATTGAGGGAGGTGGTGGTGGGGTGGCCCTAGTGAGTGGACATTCACTGCTTCCTCCTTACAGGGACTCGGGATGCAGAAGGCCGGGCAGTGCTCCTTCTGTGTGCCCACAACCTGGCCTGGCTTCACCCCAAGTGCAGCAGCCATGAGCTCATCCGCTTCCTGCTCTATCTGCGAAACATCCCCAGGTAGAGGGAGAGGGCTGGGAGGTGACACTGGAGGGGGCAAGGTCTAGGGATTAGATCCTGAATGAAGCCTGCCCCTTTAGGCCTGAAGTACAGGCCCTGGGACTGACCGTGCTAGTGGATGCCCGAATTTGCTCCCCGAGCTCTTCTCTTTTCTGGGGGCTTAGCAAGCTACAGGTGAGTACAGGGTTGTAGATGTCCCCTTCTTTTTGTACAGTGTTGGGGTGGGACTGAGCTCAGATTTCTTGCAGGAAGCAGCTCCAGGGGCTGTGCACCAAGTGTTACTAATGGGAAAGATGCCAGAGAAGGTGCCTTCCACACTGCAGGTACTGAGTGAAGAGGGCCAGAGGTGATGATGGACACTCTTCACCTGTCTTGGCTCACATCATCTCCTCCTTCTGCAGCTGGAGCACGTGCCCTCTCATCAAAGTCTGCTGACCCGCCTCCCCATCATGGGGTTGCCTGATTCACTGGGAGGAGGTTTGCCGTACTGCCACCAGGCTTGGCTAGACTTTCGGATGGTCAGTATACCGGCTGGGGCATGGGTGGGGATGCCGTGGCCTGGAATCCAGGCTGCCTGGGACCAGCATGGAGCATGGCTCTGGTCATGCCTGTTCCTTACTCATAGCACTTAGAAGCCCTCGTGCAGAGTTGCCAGGTGGTCTGTGCCTTGCTCCAGGGCGCTGTTGAGAGCATGAAGTCGATTCCCCGGCCAGTGGAGTCCAGGGTGAGTGTCTCCTCCCTAGTCCCCACCCCAAATGTCCCCTTCCTCCCTCCTGCTCTGCCATGGCCCCCTCCCCTGCCTGTTGTCCTCTGCCCCAGGAAGCCAGCAATCTGCTACGGCAGGCACAGGTCCTGATGCAGCAGGTGCTCGACTCGCCATGGCTGACATGGCTACAGTGCCATGGGGGCATGGAGCTGGCATGGATAAAGCAGGAGGTCCCAGAGGTGACCCTGAGCCCAGACTACAGGTAGGTACCAGTCCAGTTCCCAGATTGTGCTCCAGGCCAGCCCACAGCATCCCATGTCAAGACTTGAGCAGCTGGCCCAGAGCCATGTAGGGTTGTGGGTTTCAGGACAGGGCTGGTTGGAGGGAGGGTCCTGAGACTGTGTGCTCTGCACCAGGCCGGCGGTGGATGAGGCTGACAAGCTGTACGGCCACGTGGATGAGCTGCTGCACCAGCTGACCCTGGAGAGCAACCGGTGCATCCAGGCTCTGGAGTTGGTACAGATGCTGGAGGCTCAGGAGGACACACTGCACCAGGTGGGGATTACCAAGCCAGGACAGGACCTGCCCTGGCTCTCACACTTGGTACCACCCCAGCCGTTCTCACCTTCTCTGGTTTGTGACCTTCCAGATTGAAGTGTGGCTGCAACAGGTGGGCTGGCCAGCACTGGAGGAGTCAGGGGAGTCTTCGCTGGACACGTTGCTCCAGGCCCAAGGACCTTTCCAGGAGTTGGAACGAACTGCCCAGGTGAATTTGGTCACTTGTTCATTCCACAGGTGTTGGTGCATGGCACCAGGTACTAGGAGTATAGAGGTAGATGAAAGTAGATTTGTCCCTTGTTCTCTTAGAACTGATAGTCAGTGGAGGGGATCTGTTGCCATCAAAGGTTCACAGTGTTTGCAAACTGAGGCAAGAACTGTGGAGTGTGTGGTAATAACACCGGAGTGTATAACTGAGATCTGACCCTGTAGGAGGTCTGGGTGCTTTACTATTTTTTCTTAATTTCAATGTATTTTTGGTGAAGGTTTACACAATAGTTTAGGTTCCCATTCAACAACGTCCACACAAATTGCATAGTGACGTTGGTTACATTCTTACAATGTGTGAACTTTCTCAATGAGAAAGTACTTTTGAGCTGAGAACCAAAGGAGAGGTTGGGATCAGTCTGGCAGAAGAGGCTTGGGAATGGGGAATATTCTAGGCTGAGGAAACAGCATGTACAAAGGTTCTAGGGCAGGAGGGATCATGGAGTGCCTTAGGAAACATAAGGTGGCCAATAAGGATGAAATATGGAGCAGAAGAAGGATGGGGGCTGAGATGAACCTGGAGATGGGGTCAGTGGCCAGATCACTTGGCCACGTGAAGCAGGAGTTTGAATCCTGAGAGCAGTAGACAGGTTTATGTAGGGAGGTCACATAATGAGATCTCTGTCCTTGGAAGAATGATCTAGTTTCTGGGTCAATAATGACCTAGAGGTTGGAGGTGGAGAGTCCAGCGAAGGGAGAGTTACACAGTCTAACCAGGAAATGATGCTTGCTCTGTCCAGGAAGTTAGACAGGGGAGATAGACTTTGGAAGTTGATGGGATTAGATGATGGATACATATGGGGAAGGGGAAGCAGGTAAGGGAAAAGGAGTTTGTAAGGAGGAATGGGTGCTGTTCTCTGAGTAGAAGGACCAGGCAACAGGACCCTTCTGGGGCTGGGGAATTCATGAATCCAGGCTAGTGTGCCTCTGAGGTAACTATGAGGATGTCCCTTGTGGTAGGCCTGGCATTTTGAGGAAAGGTGGGGCTGGAGACAGTCACTGGGGGAAGTGGGCATGTGGCAACGCAAGGCTGGCTGAAAGTGAACTGTGTCCAGGAACCTAGAGGAGTCAGGGGAGGCTGGGCTGGGCGGGGGGGCAGCAGGAGGATGAGAAGAATCAGGAGAGTGAGGAAGTTATCAGGGAGCCTGGAGAAGAGGGTTCTGAGGTCTGGAAAGGGACTTGACAGGGTAGATGTCAGTGGAACAAACTTGGGTTTGGGGGCTGGACCAATGGGCCTGGGTAGACTGAGCCCAGTCTTTGTCCGCAGGAGCAGATCAGGCGAGGGGAGAAGGTTCTGCAGCCACTGGCTGGCTGGGAGGCAGCTGAGCTGGGCTCCTTTGGGGCCCATTTTCTGGCTCTGCAAGCCCAGCTGACGGAATTCTCCAAGGCTTTGGCCCAGCGCCGCCAACGGCTGGCAGATGCTGAGAAGTTGTTGCGATTCTTCAAGCAGGTGGGTGAGGGCTCCTTGTCCTTGGCTTTAAGTGGTCATGGGACCAGAGGGGTGGCTGTCCAACCGAGCTCTACTCTACCTTGGTTAGGGCCCTACCAGGTCTATTTTCTTTCCTTGTCTTCAGTCTGACTTCAGAATCTCACCATTGGTGATGGGGCTGGGTTGGCATCTGGTGAGGTGAGGTGTGGCCAGAAGCAAAGGCTGGTGGTCTCTGGGCACCATGTTCATTGCCTGCCTTTGGTGTTGTAGGCATCAACATGGGCTGAGGAGGGTCAGCGGGTGTTGACAGACCTGGAGATGGAGCCCTCAGGGCTGGTGCTACAGCGGCTGCAGTTACATTGGACCAAGTACCCCGACCTGCCTCCTGCCCACTTCCGAAAGATGTGGGCCCTGGCTACAGGGCTGGGCTCAGAGGGTATCCGCCAGGAGTGCCGCTGGGCCTGGGCACGGTGCCAGGATACCTGGTTGGCCCTGGACCAGAAGCTAGAGGCTGCACTGAAGGCACCAATGACAGGCAGCAGAAGTAGCCTGTGTATGAGCAGGGTCCCCACTGCACAGGCTACTCCTCCCCTGAGGAAGGCGTACAGCTTTGATCGGAATCTGGGGCAGGGCCTCAGTGAGGCTGCCCGCCACTGCTTCCATGCCACCATTGTAGCTGCCTGCCGCGGACGAGAGGCTGGAGGTGGGGCCCAGCCTGGATCACCCCTGACTACGACTATGCCTCTGCCAGGCAGCTCTGATGCCAGGAGTCCCAACAGGTGCGGCAGTGGGTGGGGCAGGGAGGGTAGTGGCAGGGTGGAGGGCTGGGTCTGAACTCTTACAACCTGGCAGGCTGCAGCTGGTGCTAGCGGAGATGGTGGCCACCGAGCGGGAGTATGTCCGTGCACTTGACTACACCATGGAGAACTATTTCCCCGAGTTGGATCGCCCTGATGTGCCCCAGGGCCTCCGTGGCCAGCGTGCCCACCTCTTCGGTAACCTGGAGAAGCTTCGAGACTTTCATCGCCATTTCTTCCTGCGTGAGCTGGAGGCCTGCACCCGGCACCCACCCCGAGTAGCATACGCTTTTCTGCGCCATGTAAGCCTCACAACCCCCCCAGCCTGTAGCTGACTCAGCCACACTCATCCACGAGCTAGCTGTTGGACACACATTTGGTGCTGATCCCTGTCCTAGGCTAGCTATGAAGAAGATAGACAAGGGATTTAAAAATGGAAAAAAAATAATTCCAGATTATAGCCCAGGCTGGCTGTGTGCTGTGGAGTTGGTCCCAACTCATAGCAACCTTGTATAGGGTTTCTGAGGTTGTAAATCTTTATGGTAACAGACAGCCTCATCTTTTTCTTGTGGAGCAGCTAGTAGATTTGAACTGCTGACCTTGCAGTTAGCAGCCCAATTCATAACCCACTATGCCACCAGAGCTCAGTGTAGGGAAGACATAATGAGGATCTGATTGTGAGTGGGCTGGTAGGAAGCAGTTAGAGAAGGCTTCTTGGAGGAGGGAGTATTTGAGCTGAGGGAGGAGGGAGAGCAGGTAGTATAAAGAGCTGTGTAAGAATGTTCTTTGCAGAAGAAAGGGCAAGGTCAAAGCCCTGAGGCAGAAAAGAGGCCCCAAGGTTGAAGGAGAGACTGGTTGTCTTAGCTGAGTAGAGAGTGCAGGGAAAGAGTAGTCTGAGTTTTCTTAGAGCCCAATTTGGACGCTCAGCCTGAGGGCGAGTTGGAACTTCTTCCAGAGGGCCTGGGGTCAAGCCTGTGCTGGCACACATCCTTTTTCGGATTGCCCCCACTCTGAAGCAGTGCAGATTGGGTCTGGGAGGCTTCCCTGGGAAGTGTCTGGTGGCATCTGGGTTTTCTCGAGTTGTAAATGGCAGTCCTCTGAGCCTCCTATCTCCACAGAGGGTGCAGTTTGGGCTGTATGCACTCTACAGCAAGAATAAGCCTTGCTCTGATGCGCTGATGACCAGCTATGGCCACACCTTCTTCAAGGTAGGCAGGTCAGGGCCTGTGGGGGTGGGGGCTCCCGTGACACCTCGTAATGGCATTCCCTTCTACCTGGCAGAATAAGCAGCAAGCACTGGGGGACCACCTGGACCTGGCCTCATACTTGCTGAAGCCCATCCAGCGCATGAGCAAGTACGCGCTGCTGCTGCAGGAACTGGCTCGGGCCTGTGGGGGCCTTGTGCCAGAGCTCGGTGCCCTGCGGGCAGCACAGAGCCTCGTACGCTTCCAGCTGCGGCATGGCAACGACCTGCTGGCCATGGATGCCATTCAGGGCTGTGATGTGAGTTGTCCTCAGCCTTGGTGGGCAGGTGCAGTGGGTGTGGAGGGAAGGGGACAAAAGGGCTAGGCACCCACTGGTCCCCTCCTTGGCAGGTGAACCTCAAGGAGCAGGGCCAGCTGGTGCGGCAGGATGAGTTCACAGTGCGTGCTGGACGACACAAGTCCCAGCGCCGCGTCTTCCTCTTTGAGGAACTGCTGCTTTTCAGCAAGCCTCGCTGTGGGCCCACAGGCACGGATACATTTGCCTACAAGCGCTCCTTCAAGGTAGGACCCCACACTGCCTCTCCCTCCCCTCCACACCCACTGGTACCTACCTCACTGAGCCCTTTATCCTCAGATGGCAGACCTTGGCCTGACAGAGAGCTGTGGGGATGACAACCTGCGTTTTGAGGTCTGGTTCCGTCGACGCAAGGCCAGAGACACCTTTGTGCTGCAGGCCACCAGCTCAGCCACCAAACAGGCCTGGACGACTGACATCTCCCGCCTGCTCTGGAGGCAGGCCGTTCACAATAAGGGTGGGCTGTTCACAATAATGTCCCTACTTCATCTCCCCTTCTTCTCCCCAGAAGGCTGACCTTGTCCCATGGGTGGTGGGAGTAGCGGGGAAGACCTCGGGACCCAGTGAGCTTGGGAAGGTTCCTCCGTTCCTCCAGGGGCTGTGTGGGAGGAGGCCAGCCCCGGTACCCCACAGGAGTACAGCTTCAAAATCAACCAGGCCTGTGGTCACTGTGTCTGACTCTGGACACAATATTAACCTCTGTTAACAGCCTCACCTTTAAATAGGAAGGTCCCTGGGAGAAGAAAACTGGGGACAGGACAGATATTCAGCAAATTGTTCAGGAAAGATTCATTTAAGGCAGGCATAGATGCCCAAGGGCAAGATTGATATCCAGAATTGTCCTGCCTCATGCCCACTTTCTACCCAGAGGTGCGCATGGCTGAGATGGTATCCATGGGTGTGGGGAACAAGGCCTTCCGGGACATTGCCCCCAGCAAGGAAGCTATCAATGACCGAACCATCAACTATGTCCTCAAGTGCCGAGGTAGTGGATAGCCTATAGAGGGGCGGGGGACAGCCGTCAGCCCTGAGCTGTCCCGACCAGCCCTCTCCTCTTATGCAGAAGTTCGCTCTCGGGCCTCCATTGCCGTGGCCCCACTTGACTACGACAGCCCCTACTTGGGGGCCTCCAGCCCCCTTCCTGGAGACCCTGCCTCTTCCTCTGTACTGGGACCCCTCAACCTGCATCTGTACAGAGACCCAGCTCTTGTGGATCTCTGCTGGCCCCTGTATCCCACCAATTTCCATGAGGAAGCAGCGCTGGAAGCTGAAGCAGAGTTGAGCAGCCAGCCCTCTTTGAGTATGTATGGACTTGGGCAGGGGGATACAGCTTGGGGCTTGGGCCTCCCCTGCCAGAAGCTCACCCAGTCTCCCTCCCTAGCTCCTGAGGACTCAGAGATCTCATCCCAGTGCCCATCGGCCAGTGGCTCCAGTGGCTCTGACAGTAGCTGTGTGTCAGGGAAGGCTCTGGGCGGAGGCCTTGAGGACTTGTCCTATGTGAGTGCCCTTTGACCCTAGTGCCCAACCCCCCCCATCCCCTCCTCAACCAAGCATGAGTCTCTGGCTGCTGTTCCTCTAGGTAGAATTGGAGGTAGGTGGGCCAGAGCTATTCCCCAGAGACCGTACTCTGCAGGTGAGCTGGGGAAACACATTCATGGCTCAACTGGCTCCATAGGTCTGAGCCAGGCTTGAAGATGGATAGTGGATTCGGCATACTCAGGCTCCAGGGACATCTCTTCTCTCTGAATCTGCTGAGACCAGTGTGTGGCTGGCCCTCTGCCACCCTCAGGGCAGCCCTGTTGACCACCCTTTCTGATGTCTGTGACCACGTGCCAGACTTGAATGAGCACCCAGATCCTTGGCCCCTTTTACCCCATGTCCGCTTACCAGCTCCTACTGCAAGTTGTTAGAGGGTTAGGCAGAGCTCATATTTCATGCTGGTGGAATATTCCAGACAGTTGGGTTTTTGGTACCTGCTTCCCAGCCTCTGGCCTTAAGCCAAGCTTCCTAGACTTAGGAACAAGTCCATCCTTATTGGGCCCTGACTCTTGCCTGCCCTGATGCCCTACGCTTAGCCTCTTCTTTCCTGAGTCAGTTTGGTTGTTTTGACTCAACACCTTTTGAATAGCTTTCAATTAGAATTGTCAAAAATGATGTCACTGGTTGTTAAGGTCTTTGCATCTTGGAGAGGGAGACCAGACCTTGACTTCCAGTTTATTATTTTATTTATTTACAATAAAAAGTAGACTGATAAGCATATTTGTGTGGGTACATGCTTTCTGGGGTACCCTCTGTTAACATTAGCTTTGGCTAGTGGGGGTCTGTAAGGGTGATGTCTGTGGGCATCCTAGCCCTCTTGTAAGTACTTGCTCAGGATGGAGTAGGAGACAGACCTCGACAGGCCCCTCTGGATGAGCAGGTCCACGCAGTGGCCATATTTCCTGGCGAAAGGCAGCGTGAGCTGGAAGGAAAGGCCAGTCTCACTCCAGCCTGCTGTCCATTTGGCAACTAGGTGGGCAGGGCTCGTCCCATGGGCCAGGGGTGGGGCAGCTGGTTGTTGGGACCTTTGCTGTTCTCAGTTCCCTTCCTTCCAAAGGCATCTCACATGCCTGTGGCTAGAAAGGCTACAGGGGGGACCCGAGCAGATGGACCAAAGGGTCCACAATGTGTGTTTTCTGCCCTTGGTTTTCCCCTTCCCAGCCACAATGCTGACTTCACCTTTACAACCGACAAAGTCTGAGTCCTAATAGTGATTCATACTAGGTAGTTACAAAGTCCTGGTGTGGCACTGTGGGATACGGACTTACAACCACAAGGTTGGCTCTTCAACCCTCCCAGCTGCTCCTTGTGAACCCTGTACAGGGTCACTGCATCAGAACTGGCTTCACAGCACTTAACAATTACAGTGTAGTTAGGATGAGAGGTGTTCTAATACATTTCATTATTGGGATGCCAAATTCATGAGAATTCACACTATCTGGTGAAAACCCTAAACCTATTTTAAGGAATCCAGAACAAAATAATGTAGCCATTTTTTTTGGTCCTTGCTGCACATTACCCTTTTTTTGTTAAAGGATGTATGAACGCAGCTTAGACAGGAAAGGAATGTTATGTTTTAGAAACGGTGACATGATGGCTAAAAAGGTGAAGTTACTATCACTGGTTGAAAAAGTTCTGAAGCCCCATCCTTTGGTTTTGTGCCACAAGTTTTTGTTGCCCCAGCAACAACCAGAGTTGGTAGTGATGACGACAAAGTTGCTATTGTTGGGAAAACTATAAAACCCAGGGGCGGGGGCTAGAATACTCAGTTTTCACCATTTCACATAAATGTCAGCCATTGTCTCTCCCTCGCCAGGACCAGCCTGCCTAGCCCCTGGGAGCCTCTCCATGGGCTACCATTTCCAGAGGACACAGGTGGTCCTTACCTCCACCCAGCTGTACAGGCGTTCCTGGGTGTGCCGGTCATCCTTGAAGCCGGAGATGGCCAGCAAGTCCACCACAAACTGCTTGGGGCTGATGTGCAGGGTCTGCAAAGAGCCTGTGGTCAGGTGGGCTAGGGGCAGTGGCCTGATGCACATGCTAGAAGCCTGTTAGAGGGATACTGAGTAGGGGCTTCTGTGGGCCTGCAGGAGCCCCAGAGGTGGGGACACCTTCACGCCAAATTCGCCCCTGCCCACCTCTACCCCTGACCTATTCCCCAACCCTGGCCTTGGTTGCTTCCTCTTGTAGTGCCTTACTACATACCCATAGTTGGTTGGCCAGTGACACCACCTTGGCGGTGATAGCTTTGGGGTCCTTTTGCCTGATGGAATCCAGGATGATGTCAGTCAGGAAGCGGTGACATTTCTGTGCATAAAACATCTCTTCCCAAGACAGAGAGAAACTTAAGAATGTCACCTCTGTGGAAGGAGGGAGAGTAGGTGTGGCTACACCTGCCCATGGCTAGGGCTTCTAGGTAGCCTGGGTGGGGAGGGAGAACTTTCAGGGAGACCCTGCCCAGGAGTGCCCTGGGAAGTGCAGGATCAGGCAGAACCGGGAGCCTCACCTCGGGGTTGGATGCTGGCTGTGGGTGGCATGTGCCTGAGGTGGTCCATCTGTGTGGTATACACCATGCTGTCTTCAAAGAACCTGCAGGAGCCATCACTGCCTACTACGGGGGGGTGGGTCACTTTGAGGATGACCCCTGCATTATCTACTTCACTGACCTCTGGTAGAGGCTGCTCAAGGACAGGGCTTTCTGTGAAAATAATGTGGGGAAAGGGTCTCTGCAGGCCAGCAGAGCTAGTCACCTCACCCTTCCAGTTGCTGCTACCTCTAGTTTCTTAGATGTAGCACCCTAGCTGGCAGGTGTCTGTCTCAGTCTCTCATCACTGCCCCAGAATCATTTCAGGTCAAATCCTGAATTCCTGCGCTCCAAGGAATTCTGCACAGACTTCTGCTAAACTGAGATTGGTATCAAATAAGAACTCATCCGGGAATTGGAGGTCTCTTTTTGTAAAATGAGAGGAGCTTTTTGTCCACTCCAGAAGAGTACAGTGACAGACCAACATGAGGCTCACAGCAGCCGGTCCATGAAGTTCCCTCTAGGCTGGACCTGAGCCACCAAAAGGGAAAGTGACAGAATAGTGGGTGTGGTGGTGGGGTCTCTGAGTGGGCAGAGGCAGTTCTCAGCACACTTCCCTGGCCCATCTCCCCACCTCCCTGCCCCCCCACCCCCGCTTTCAGTGCTGTTCCATAGCCCCTCCTAGCTCTCCTCAGCTTCTCTACCAGATGCCCCACAGCACCTTGCACTCACTATGTCATCTTTCCCAAGTCCTCCTTCTCTTGTCTACCCCACCTTCCTAGCAGTCACCCAAGTCAGAAACCGGGTTCCTTTCTTGACCAGTTCATCCCTCCCTCCTCCCCTCCACCGCCTAGCCTGCTTCACTTGGAATGAACTCAGAAACTTCTCATGCTTCCTCCTTCTGAGATATTCCCTCTGCTCCTGGAGCCAGCCTGGAATGCCCACCTGACCTTGGCTCTTGCTGTCTTGTTCAGTGGCCCCTTCCCTCAGGATCAAGACAAAGTGCCATATCCTGAATGTGCCCACAAGACCAGTTCTGTACTTAGGCTTCATAAACACCCACACTTTTTCTTCTCTTCCCCTGCTGACTGCACAATGTTGTCCTCTTCTTCCCCATCACACCCCTCAAAGCTATGTCAGTGTGTCAGTCACTCTTGTCTCTTGCCTGCACAGAACTGACATCAGTGAGTGCAGGACTTTAGCTCTCACTTTGTCACTATCTCACTCTCTGTTACAGATCTCTGTTACAGATCTCTGTTACAGATCTCTGTTACAGATGGTCAAGGATGGGACAGGACTCACCTCTCTCCTTTGAACTCTGCTTGCCCCAGTCCTTCAGGGTAACAGATCTTTTCATGGGGAAATACGGCTTAAAGGTTGCCTCTGGTTCCTTGTCTTTGACTCCAGCCCCTGCCTGTGGCTCTGGGTCTTTCTCGGAGGCTGAGGAATGGGCTTTCCAGGCAGCTGAGGTGCTAGGCTGAGAAACAGCCTCATTTCCCATGGGATGCTGCAGGGTGGCCTCTTCTGAGGAGTTGCTCCGGGGGGCTGTCAATGACTGGAATTCCCACTGCTTGCAATTGACCATGTCCCACTCCCTCACCAGAGAGATGAGTTTTTGCATGGGTGTGATAGGAGGGTCTTTGGTTTCACAATTTTGTGTGAGGTTGATTGTAGCACACTTCTTCTTGGGGGGACTCTCAGGGTGGCATCCCCAGTGTTTGGGATTGGCGCACAGGCCAGGGCAGTGTGAATATGTGCTGGGGTTGCCTGCCCTCTTGACACCTTGGCACAGGGGCACTTGGATGCTCTGGTTGTACTGCTCAGCTTCCTCCATCTGGCTGGACCTGGTCAGGGTCCCTTTGGCCTTGCTCCATGGGGTCCTGTCACTGCAGTCTTGGAACTCCACAGGCATGCAGGTTGTGGTCTGGGGAAAGAAGGATGCAGAATACTGTGTTTCCACACTGAAGCCCAGCCTGGATTCTAATAAGCTGGTTCTCTAAGAGCAAGCCTATCCTCCACATGCGGTGCTCAGGCTGAGAGGGGCTGATGCCAGCCCAGGGGCTTCCCACACCAACAGGAGATAGTATCAGTGTCCCAGGCCATGAATAGCCAACACTTCCCTGGACTCAGAAAACAGTTACTATGTCAAGCACTCACGCAGCAGTGGTGGTGTACTGTTGAGTTGATTTTGACTCATAGCAACCCTATATAGGGTTTTCGAGGCTGTAAATCTTAATGAGAGCAGAAAGCCTCATCTTTCTCTGGAAGAGCAGTTGGTGGATTTGAACTGCTGGCCATGTAGTTAGCAGTCCAACTCTGTATCCCACTATGCCTCCAGGGATCCTTCAAGAACCTGTGTAGGCTCTGCTTTTTCATTTTTCCATGGACCTCAGTTGCTGGGCCTCTCCTCTGAGTCCTGAGGTGTTTTCTCTCACCCAACACCAAGTCAAAGGGGCCAGCTGGGCCTCTCTCTCCTCTGAGTCCTGAGGTGTTTTCTCTCACCCAACACCAAGGCAAAGGGGCCAGCTGGGGCTTACCTCTTTGGCATCTCTGCTGAACTCCACCAGTGGCCCTGGCCCTTCTGTCACCACGTGCAACCTCCTGATGGGAAACGCTTCTTCATTTTCAGATTCTTTCTCCTGGGTCCATGACCTACAGATTCCAAGAGGGCTCCGTTAGTAAGCAAACACTTCCACTTGTTCATTCGCCATTATGTGGGGTATGTTCTTGGGCTGGGAACTAACCTAGACAGT